CATACGTGCAGCTATCCGTAATTGGCTAACCGTGAATTAATAGTCGGTATTTACTTATCGAAGTGCGGCCGTGACTCGCTTGAAAATTCGAAGAGATCCCCTTCTCGGCATCGAAAGACAAAGGCGCCACTGTTTTGGCTCCTTTTCTTCGACCTCGGTGCCGAGCGTACCGACTCTTTGACATTTCACTTCTTCCACGAGTCCCCACGTGCAACGTCCTAGAAACCGAAAGTTAAAAAATGTTCTCCCGTGGTAAACGCCCACGCGTTTCTCCTCTTTCTTCGCCGTGCGATAATTTCTTTATGAACGGTTTCGTAAACGAAACGATCTCTTGGCTAATCCGCTTTAGGCGAGATCGACTACTTGAAACGAGCGCTTCGGTTGCGAGCGTTCAATAATTCATATTCAATCCATCGATAGCAACTGTCGCGGCGGGGGATCCGATAATTCAACTTTTATATCTCGTCCCTCGCGTACTTTCGTTACATCCGTCTTGACTACCCTCGAGGAAATTTGCGACTGTCTGAACTATAGCTGACGGCGAAATCCTCCAGCGTTTCAACGAGTCACGAACTTACAGAGGATCGGAAGGAGTACGAACGCTTACGGAAAGAAGGTTCGCGAATGCGCTAGGCCAGGATCCGACTCGAGGACTACACCCTACGAACCACCTATCGCATCGAAGCTACGTTTTCAGCACGCGCAGTATCAAACCCGAGTTCAGAATTCGACTGGATCGCAAACGATGGAAACGCGCACGGTACTTATCGCGTAGAGCGCCGTTTCCCAAATTCGTGTAATCCTATGAGTGTATATCATCAACTTTTCGATGATAGAAGTAAACACGCACACGCGAAAAGTTGGCGCAAGTCAAGTTTCGACATTTGCTCGATTAGATACGATTCCAGAGACCGTATCGATCCGATCGTTTCTGCCTTTTAATACCTTACAAGGTTGAATAGCAGCGAAGCCCTGTTTATCAACATTTCTAGGAGTAAAACGAGAAACGTATCCCATATATAGAAAAAGGATAGAACAATCTTAGGATTCGAACGATGTTTCCTATTGCGGAGAGCGTTGGGTAATTCAGCTAATAAACAAAGAGGCAGGGACTCGCTATCTCGGTACGATTATTCTACGTACCAAAACAGAGTGTTTGTACTTTGGTGAGCGTATTTGTAACGCAAATACGTCTAATAATTATCGACTGGTAGTTACCGAATAAGTCTCGCGATAAAAAGGATTGCGAGGAGGAAAAATTCATCGGTTCATCCACCAAGAATGCGCTTCGCGCTCGCGAGTAACACGCTTCGAGGGCATAAGAAATCGGATTTTTTTGCGATACCCGTGACAAGGCGTCGCGTGTGTCGACGACGCCGCTAAGTACCAACAGAAGCCGCACTAAAGCAACTGGGACAATGGTTAGAGGTGACTCGGGCCGAGTGGTCGACGCCTAGCGAGATTATTCGCGGTGAAGCAGGAAAAGTACTCGCGAGGCTGACACGGAAAGACGCGAGCGAAATTCATGCGGGTCGATGTTTCATCGCGAAACGCATATTATTCGTCGAGCGTATCGGTAAATGAAACGTTTGGTAGCGAAACCGAACCACGGAATGTTTGTACAGGGTACGGCGCGCGCATTTGTAACGTTGAAATATTCATCGGTCGACGCGTACGTGTGACTAATACCGTGTCGAAGCGTGGCCGTTCGAGGTCGACGATTCGCGTACCTCGATATTGCTCGACTGACTCAAACGCGATAATACCGGCCGCGAATTACCTAAACGCGGAACGAGTCGCGGAAAATGCACGGAACGGATTACTCAAATTTTTGCATACAAGGATTCGAACGTCGACGCGTTCGAGATCTCCGTCGTTCTCGAACTTTGCGCGATAAAAGTAAATCATTTAGCTTCCACGGTATCGTAAACAATCGTTCGTGCGAGAGAAGACGGCACCACCGACGTATGCCAACGATCAAACAAACCGGAAAGTTATTTACAAATAGAGATATCTTGAACGGCCCACGCGTTGCTGGCAATCCTACGTCGATACCACGCTCGACTTTGTCGACGGCGATGTTTCTTTCTTGGCTCGATGGATTTCAACTTTCAACGTTTCGAGGCGAGAAACGAACGGGTCTTCGCGACTCGTGACCGCGCTCTTCAAATTTTCAACGCGTTCTTGGAGGATTCTTGGAGGACAGCCGAGACCAACTTCGAACGTTCCAGCGCGCTGAGCCGTTCAAGGTCGCGATCATTTCGCGCGAAATTATGCCGTTTCACCATTCCTCCGGGACCGATGGTACGCTTTTCGTCTCGAAATTTCCACGAACGTGGTGGAAGCTCGAATCGGAGGACGTTTCTCGAGAAGAACAAACAAACACACTCCGTTCACCCCTGGAGAACCACGTACCAAAATATACGTACACGAACGCGCGCGTATCGGGATCGGGACGTTTCTAGCCAAATATTTGAGGAGAGAAGCGAACCTCCGACCAGCCATCTTTCCAAACGAACGTTTCACCCTCGGTTGACTCTGCTCGCGACTCGCGATACCGTCGATTTCTTCTCGCAACGGGTCGTCGATCGTCTCGATTGTTCCTCCTCGTCGATAACCGCCATGCAACTAACGATTTTTCCCCAACTCGAACTAGTTGAACTCGAACAACGAAAACACGCCGGTGTAATTTTTAGCTGGATGCAACCGACGAGAAGACGAAGAACGGTCCCAGGTCGAAATTACGAGAATCGTGCGTGCGTACGTCGCGCGTGGGAGAGAAGGGCGCGAGCGACCGGCGCGCGAGACGGAGAGGACGAGGGGAGGAAATCAATGCCACCGTCTGCCGCGAGAGAAGAGAAGAGAAGAGAAGAGAAAGAGTAGAGAAGAGAAGAGAAGAGAAGAGTAGAGAAGAGAAACTCGTCGCGTATCCGTGAGTTTTCGCCGGTGTCTGTTGCGCGCCGGGCGGCGAGAGAGAGATACACCGCGCTGTGCCGGGCCGAGTCGAGCAGAAAAATCCTGACGCGGAGGACCGACCGCAAGAGGAACAGGGAGAAACAACGAAGAGGGGAAGCGAGAAAAATAATCACCGGAGAAGAGAGGGCAGAGTCAAGGCTTCGCGAGGTACTCACTTGGCTCTTAACGTAGCGTAGCCTCCACTGTCTTCTTTGGAGTTCGGTCTTCCAAAGGGATTTGCTCCCTGTGAAAACTCGCCGGAACCTCTCCGCCTCCTCCTCCTAAACTCCTTCGTATGCCGTGCTCCTGCGTCGCCCTCTTCGGCTCGTTGGAAACGGCACAAATCGAAACACGAGGGTTGTCGACGAAAACTCCGAATGTCGAGGAACCGAACGGACAGACCAATACTCCCCGTACGACACTGTACGCGACACTGCCTCGAGTGAGAGAGACTCTTGCTAGGCGGGCAGGGGTTGATGGAGAGGGCGCATCGAATGTACGTACCGAACTCGAGGGAAGCAACCACCCAACGTTCCGTTCTCGCGGGTATCTCGAGCCTAACTGACGCACCGGCCGAGCCTGCGAGCCACACGAACCCCGAGTGCTTTCCGTCTTTCTCCCTCCAATACGATTCGTTGCTGGCTTTCTCGCTCTTCGTTCGCGGCGAGACCGAGTCGTTCGAGTCTCGGTTTTCCGGTCTCGCTCGCTCTTTCTTCGATCTTCTGCTCCATTCCGCTTCGGCCATTCTGTCGGTCCGCCACTCCGCTCCGATTCACGTTCTCTTCTTCCTTCCTTCGTTCATTTTTGCTCTTCCATTTTCTTCGTCGATCCCCTTTTTCTTACCTCTCTCTCTAATTTTATCATCTCGCTGTCTCTCTCCGCGAGTGCTTTCCATCTCTCTCCGTTCGTCGGGGCTCGGTACTAGCTCGATCTCTCTTTTTCCTAGAGGTTTTCGTGCCTCCTCTCCACCGCCGCCCTTCATCGGCCGCTCCTTCGACACCCATCGCGCGCACACGTAGCATGTACATATGTACATAGGGTGGCATCGCCGAGACGGTGCTGCCCTTCGCAGGATCACGCTTCGTTTCTTTCCATTTGTCGCGGGGGAGATATACCTGGGACCTTCCTGCGAATATAAGGACCGTGTACCCGTTTGTTTAACCGAACTTTCCATGCGCCACCTCTGTTCTCCCCGACCGTCTAGCTCCTCCACCCACCCGTTCATTGGCTGGACGTTCGTCGAAATTGCAGATAATTCTTACGGTGTCCGGATCGATCGCCGCGGCGTTTCGAGACGTGAAACACGCCTGGTGGCATTACTTTTCTAGGCCACGACCCAGTCGGGGATGTTACGTCATCGAAATTGCGCGACCTTGTCCTCGAGGGAGGCAAACATTTTCGCGAAATGCGCGACGTATAAATTTTATCTCGCAATCGATACGTTCTTTTCGACGTTTCTCGCGTAGCACGAGCGGTCGCTCGGACATCCAGTATACGGAGCACCAAAGAAACGCTATGCGTAAACGTCGAGTCAGGATTTCAACAGCGCGATATTAATTTTTCGTCCGACGCAACGCGCGATACTTGCTGGGCGTGTTTGTTTTCACGGTCGAGAAGGCTCGGAGGATTTCAGGAAATGGGAAGATTAATTCGAATGAGACGAGTCGTCGCGCAATTTGTTGACGCACGAGGAAACGCGTTTGGTTTTCCGAGTGTTATCGGTTCAACGCCGATGATTAATCGCAATCGCGAGATATCGACGAGGGACGCTCTTTTCGTTAACAACGTCGCGTTCCGTTTGACTACGTCTCACGGAAGATTGGAGCGTAACTTACTCCGTTTCGAAATGAGGAAAAAGAAAAGGCGGGCGAACGTCAACGATGTCGATTGATCTCGTTTAGATATCGATTAATTAGAAACGTCGAGGTAGTATTCGTGCCGTGTACGATCCTTCCGAGGCGTTCTGCTCCATGCGTTCTAACAAAGTAAATACTTAAGGTAAATAATAAAGATGAATAAGGACGGGAGAAGAAAAAACTGATGCGTTTAACAGCGCGTACATAGATTTAATTCGGCCGATACACCATATTTTATTCATGCTATAGAAGTATACAATTACAGAACGCTAGTACGATATACATATAAGCGACAGCTACGGATGCGTTTCAGATGCATTGGACGAGACTTGCTTTCACCTAGTTTCCAGCAGCAATCGATACCGTTAAATTTCTCGGATCTCTAGAAGGAGACGTTTCGGATACGGAGTATCCTAAGGTAGCATTCTATAAATAACTTTTATTTGTTATCTACAATAGTATCGAAATAAAATGTCGCCCGTCTCGGCCGCAGAGTGTTGGATCTCTCGTCTTACCAATAGCGTTGTAATCGATGCGAGGCGACGTAGAATTTTGCAAGCGATCGTACGCGCAGATCTATACGAAAACTATGACACGTACCGTTTGATTCGTAGCAGGCGACTAGCGTCGCTCTTGGTAGAGAAAGGGTTGTTAACGTGATACCTACGCGGAGCTGGGGATGCCGGGTTACCTGTCCAGAATATTACACCCATGCCACGGTGTGTGTTTTCAATCGTGCGACACGAGTTCCCAGATATTGAAATTGAACGCGAGCCAACCTCCGGGTGTAGCTCGCGGTCACGTGCACCGAACCCTATCCGCTTAGCTGCTGGCCTGCTTCGCCTTCTCGTCCGCGATGTCCTCCACTTCTATGTTGTCCGCGCTCACCTCTTTGATCCGATCCACTGGCTTCGGTCGCATCAGGATGAACGGCAGCTCCGCCGACAGCTCTCCCCCCAGTGCTCCCAGATATAGTTTGACCTTGACGGCGTAAGACACCACGATGCCGAAGGAGTCGCGAACGTCCGGCGAGATGAGCAACGTGCTGGAGGCCAGCTCGCTTTCCTCCCTCTTTAATCGTCCGTCTAGAGCGATGCCCCTGCGGTGCTTATTTTTTTCTAGCTCTGGCTTCAGATACAGGACCTTTTGCAGATTCGAGCCTGGATTTATCGGGCAGCCGTCCTGCGTCTCTACCGCGTCGATCACTGTCCTGAACTGGCCGTTCTGGAAGATCACCACGTCGATACCTTGCTGAATCAGAGCCTTGATCTTCTTCACGACCTTGTTACTGGTGTTCTTTACGCACACGTTTACGGCTATTCTCTCTCCGTAATGGTACAGCTGTTTGTCCAAGGTAACCTCGAGCTCCAAATCGCCTGGACTCAGTAAGAAGTCTTTTCGTACGACGGTACACGGTTGGCGACCCTGTTTCGTCGGCGTGTATTGAATCTTCCTGATGCCCATCGTTACCGTGCTCCTCTTGTGTGTAATGTCGGTCTCGGTGTCGCCGGAGTATATCTTCACGTAATAGCTCACGCCGCAAGGTTCACCGGTCTCTTCCTCGCCTGGCTGCAGAGTTACGCTCGACGGAGCACTTTGGGGGAACTTGAACACGAATGGAATCGCGTTTGGTCCCAATTTCGTCAACAGACGTTCTTGCAACCTGGTCAAGTTATCCTCCATTTTTCGAGTAGCCGGGTAGAGTTGTTCCGAGGTCAAGTACAGGTCCTTTTGAAAGTTCAGACCCATCACCTCGTCCTCCTCTCTGCCGTAGCGGAAACTGCACACTAGTTGTCCCCATACCTTTCGCCCGGTATCGATGTAGTTCTGATCCAACAGAACCACCCCGTCCACCGGCTCGATTCCCGATAAGTAGTCGATGTAGTCTCTCTTACCAAGATACAGGGAAATCTTGCCGTTTGGTGAGCATTTCTTGAACACCTTGAAGTTCACCACCATAGTTGAGTCCGTCGCTGTGTTCTTCGATTGTGATTCACAATGGACGACTGAATCGCGAGGGTGCACAGCGTCTTATATACGGACACGGTACCAGTGACGTCAACCACTTTAGGGGTTTCCAAATCCATTCAGCGTCGCGGATAAACGAGCGTCTTTGCACGCGTCGTTGCTAACCTTTTCGTGTTTTTACCGATACCTTTACCCGCCGATCATAACAATACCAACCTATGTTTTCACCTTTGCCCGGATCGATGATCTTCCCGGGCTTCGTTTTGCTGTTCATAATCTTTGGTATAGTAATGCTCGTCTTGAGGCGACAAATGTTGCGACGCGAATCGCTCGCGTTAATACGATGAATATCGCACGCTTGCATTGTACATTTACTCGTCTAATCTTCGTTAAAAAACTGTTCCTAATATTAAAACGGGACGTGTTTGCTCGTAAACGAGCCGTAGAATGAATCAATTTAGGGAACCGCGTAATACTTGTCTTGAGGGACATACAATTTTTTAAGAATCCTACTAAATTTAATAACTTGCATACTCCTACGGTCCAAGCATATTCATAAGTGATTTAGTGTAAAAAAATAATTGTCCCTCGCTCTTGCAATTATAATAGTTTTGAATTCTTAATTTATAGCATATCACTAGTGGCGCCATCGATGAGAGAACGTCCAAGTTTGTAGTGAAAATAGTTTCTACTGTTGATGCTAGATGACACTACTAAACATGTTACATCCGAGTCAGAGTGCCAACCATCTAGTATGGAATTGTCCAGTATATTATAAGCAGAAAGAAAACATGTTGAAGAAATTAAAAGAATTTTAGTGGGTTCTCCCTTCAAGTATCGATAACTTTCTCAAAAGTCTCGATATAAAAACAATTGGTATTAATGGCGCCATCGGTGGGAAAACGTCCAAGTTTGTACTGAAAATAGTAGTTCGCACCATTTCTGTAAGGTGGTGCCACCGTTACCTTTAACCAATTATTCTTTATTCTTCATAATAAATATGATTCTTTGTTTCATAACACAACAATATACTAGTGATTATGCAAAATTTATAATTTTTTACAAATAGTTGTTTAATTTAGCAACAAATTATCGACTTTTATTTAATGACGGTATCTAGCCGCTACAGTGGGAATTTTTTACACTACAAACTTGGACGTTTTCCCATTGATGGCGCCACTGGTATACACCACTACTAACAAACACCAATGATCTGTGTGTGAACGAACGTCAAAGATTTCGACGAGAGTTTCGCTTCTGTAAATCTACTCTATGTCTATACATTCTGGTTCCTTCTAGAAATGTTGAAACATACATAGATTTTGATGATGTTGGATTTTGAGAGATGCGAGTGACACTATTCGAAATTGAAAATGTCAGAGGACTCGGATACTAAAATGAATGTGGTGAGTAATGTCTCGTTCGATTAGTAACGTTGCGTCAAGTGGAATAAGACTATTACTTTATTTAAAATTTTATCTTTTTTATGTTAGAAAAACTAAAACACTTTGTCTTACCAGTATTCGTAAACAACATACATCCATAGCATTGATTATTTCATTTACGAGACATTTTTCATAATGTAGATGTAATATATTTTGAGTGTCACGGATTTGTGTTATTATTTCAATTTCAGGTGAAGCCTATGACTTTGACTATAGCACCTAATTCACCTAGGAAACCAGTGAAATCTACGGCAGTTGTTAAGTATTCAGTAGTCCAGACACCTGCAACTTATGCTCAATTACAATGTAATACAGATTTAAATTTACCACCGAGCAATTGGCTTAGCAGTTCCGCAGAAAGTTATGGCCTTCAAAGCGTATGGTCACAAACCTCTGGGTTTTCCAGTTTCCGTATGGCGCATATGTTTCCAGACTGTGTCGGAGAAGTCGACGTTGTATCAGATGCAGAAAATATAAAGAAACTGTTAAAGTTGCCTTACAATCATGGAGTGATATCCATGATGGTTCACAGAGTCGAAAATACGTTGTTATTGGATGATTTCGATATTCACAAATATTTGCTTAGGCAAGCAGAAAACGATTGGGAATGGCTGAAAAAATTTTTTTACGAACATATTTTCCACAATCTCGGAGACAAAGAGAAACGTCTCTTTCACAAAACGAATAATAGGAATACTTTACAGCAGAGAAACTTGGTATCCAAGTTCTTGTATCATTCGATAGTAGTGGCCGATAATAAAGAGCAGCACACAAAACCACAGTTACCTGTGAAGACATTGGAACCATGTTTACCGGAACCCTCTCAAGAGGAGAAAGTACCAGATCCAAATTATAATCACAATTTTACTAGAAACATTGTATGGACTTTTGAGAACATACAAATGCTTATCGGTACAGACATGCCGATATTTGGAGGGCAAACGCATCCATGTATAAGTTTAAGATTAAGAGACATGACAAAGCCTATCAATGTTTTAACCGGTATAGATTATTGGTTGGATAACTTAATGTGTAATGTTCCAGAAGTTGTCATGTGTTATCATTTGGATGGCATAGTGCAAAAGTATGAGTTAATAAAAACGGAAGATCTTCCTAATTTAGATCATTCTAAATTCAGTCCCAAAGTCATCAGGGATGTTGCACAAAATATTTTAAGTTTCTTAAAAAATAATGCAACGAAAGCTGGACACACTTATTGGCTATTTAAAGGCAAAGACGACGATGTTGTAAAGTTATACGATTTAACATCTTTATGTCACGAGGTATCGGATGAAAAAGGTCAGAATCCGTTCACCGTGCCTGTTGCTATGTTATTGTATAGAGTGGCTCGTAATATGAAGTACTCCTCCGATTACCACCGTCAACAGGGTACTATCAGAATGCTACTGAAGAACTGTGTACAATTATTAGCTAAAGAAAAATATCCTCAAATTGTTACATCGGCGCATTTTATGTTATCCGATCTTTATATACCATCGGATACCGACCCTGCTAGTCCAGGGCTATCGGATCAAAGCGACGAAGAAGACGTGCAAAGCGAATCGAGTACGAATCACGAGAATGACGAAAATGAAGAAGAGAAAGCTGAAGAAGCTGCGATAAAGTCGTTAACATTAGCTCACATTAAGGAACAAGCGGATTGCGATGAACCCAAATACAAGCCACCACCTATTTCGGGTACAGTCGAAGAAAGATGTTTGGCCGCCTTGGAGCACGTGTGTCATGGACTCCAATGTCTACAGTATTTTCCAACTGAAGATATTCCGAACGAAGAACAAACGAGAGCAGACGAGAAGGCGAAGGAGGAGAAAGAATACGAAGAGACTCATTTGAATATGGCAAAACCTTTCCAAGCAATACCTATGCCTTACACTTCTTTGAGAGATAAGAAAAAGGATACCGAATCCGTGGGAAATTCTGTAAATAGTAGTCCCAATCATAAAAAAAAACTAAAATCGAGAAAAAACAAAAAGTCGGAAGACCTTATCTCTAAAGAAAAACCTAGCCATAACGAGGCAAAAGCGTTACTGTGTAAAGTTAAAGCTGAAACGCTACCTACGTGGCAAGCTCCGAAAAAAAGTGACAACGTTAGTTGGAATGCCCACTTAAAGATACTGTTATACGAGAAAGCATCGTTAATATTTGCTGTACTTGTTGAAAACGAGTACGCTAATAGAAATTATGGAGCTTCGTTGAGATATATATTGGCAGTTTTACGGTGTCAAAAAATATTAGAAATCTTTTGTGGGGTAAGAAATGCTAAGTCGATCAGTTATCTATTAGGACGCGCGGGAGATTGCTGTTTTATGGTGGTACAAGACTGGCCTAACGTAGAAAGACATAGGAAAGAGTACGAAATGAAGAACGAAATTGAAGAAAAGATAGTCGAAGAAATCTGTAAAATGGAAGACTTAGATATGAGTAAGTTATCGCGTAAGAAGTATGTGGAAATGTGGTCGCAATGCTAAAAATAATTACATCATTTTTTAATTCAGATGGTGCCGAATTACTGCCACAGCATTTAGAAAGTATAGAATCTACTCTAGTAGCATCTTATATGTGTTACGAGAAAGCCTTATCGTTGGAACCATTGGACGCTAATAAATATAACCTCTTTAAACGATTAGGAAACATTCACAATGAACTAGGTGTTCTTTATATGAATCAAGCTGAAAGTTGGTAATTTTTTTCCACGATTATTTTAAATATCTGATACTGAAATTTAAAGAACGCGTTACTGTTTTAACAGAATATTATCAGCAAGAAAGTTCAGGGGACACGTCAGCATCATCGTCTACCGTAATAACACTGCTTACGCGTTCCAAGACTCATTTAGAAGCGGGTGTGAAAGCATTCGAAACTGTTCACGATGAAGCGAACTTGGCTCTTTTACACTCGAATACCGGAAGAGTTATGCGACTCTGTGCACATATGCACGTGAAACAAAACACTCAAGAGCGTTATTTTTACAATAAAGCGTTAGCGAGTTATCAAAAAGCTTTGCAAGTCTTGGGTTCTCGAAAAACAAATCCTGTAATTTGGGATACTGTTACGTGGGATTTGTCTACCACATTGTTTACCATGGCTACATTACTGCAAGATTATTCTACTACTAGTAGTTGCAAGGTGTGTTTTATTCTACGTTTTCCTTCTCCAACATTAAACTTAAATTCGGTTCGATCGACGTTACTTTTCTTTTCTTTTGGTCATCATCTTAGACGAAGGAAGAACTGGAACGAGAAGTTGTCGATATTCTACAAAAAGCTCTCAAGCACTGCGATACCGAAACACCAGGTCCACGCCAGCCTGTGTATCAGTTCCGTGCTGCGACTATTCAACATCGACTCGCTTCTTTTTATCATCGTATATACAGAGAGCACCAACCAGACACGGATAGTATTAAAAGGAAAACAAGTTTGCAACTGTGTAAGCTGTATTATGAAAAAGCTGCAAAGCTCTTACTATCTTTGGAGCAGACTACAGAGTTTTTAACAGTACAAATGGAGAGAGTCGCCTTAGCGGAACACCAAGCTCGTTGTACGTTCTTTTTTGAATCTAGGTTATGTTCGTTT